CTTTGCAGACCAACAGTAAAGCCAGCTGATAACCTACATTCCAGTCCCAGACTGAACTCTGCTGCCTAAAAGCATCACAACTGTTCAACTGCATCAACAGCTTTTCATTCCTCCAATAGAACATCAGACCCCTGACAGGCCACCACAGCTTGAAGAGCTGCAGATGACTCACCAATCTTTTGACAGTAAAAATCTGGGTGACTCCTAAGTTTGGTTGCCCCAAAAAGATTCCATGCATGCACAGATCCATGCTCACAGCACCGGAGCAGAGGAAAGCAGCTCCAGGTCCTTCACTGACACCTTGTGTCAGAAGCAGGAACTGGATACAACAGCGACCACCAGGCAGGTTCCAAAGCTCCCGGCTCATGTGTACGGCTGAGAAACAACCAGAGCACCAGGACTTTTGGAGCTGAAAGAAGGGATTAAACGTGTTACTGCTAAAGGGTTTAAGAGAAAGCTTAAGCCAAAACAGCTCTCACACACACACCCTCAATCCTGGCCATGTTTTTCTGCATTTCTTATGGCCAGCTCAGGAGCCTGCCTGACCACAGACAGCCCATTTGGCTCTCTGTTTCTGACTCAACAAGGGAGAGCTTGGATCAGATTACTTTGTGATCAGACAAGCAGAGACAACAGGGGATCATGCAGAAAAGCATGATTTCCTCCCTTCCAGCAGCACTAAACTGCCAGCCTAAGTCCTGAAGCCGACAAGTCAATCCCATTATGCTTCCAGACTGATCTGGGCACACCGGGGGGAGTGGCATTTCAGACCTGGAAGCACAAGGTCCTGCAAGCAGCCAGATATTCAATTCCCAGGGCCAGGCCCAGAACAGCCTTGGTCCTTCAGGCTTTCTCTATAGCCAAGACAACCACCTGCTCCAGGACTGGGACTAACTGCAGAGCCAGACACGTGAGACGCAGCAGCAAAGACTAAACAGAGAGTAGAGAAGAATTATCAGTAATTTATGTCCCAGTACTTATTTTGGCTGCTAATACATCAGCCACTGCCTGGATTTAGTGCAGATGAGCATCTGGGAGGGAAAGAAACACGTTGAAAGTCTGTGAAGCACAGAAGACAAGTACTAGAATGGGAAAATCAGCACTAAAAGGACAGAGGAAAGAAACTGTTTGACCAGAGACCTACGTAAGTAACAAAGAATCATGCTCCTTTGAAGAAAAATCCCTCTCCAAAAGCACACTAAGCAGGGACACAGCGAGCTAAGTGAAGGAGTAACAAGATGGGCAGTGAATTTGGAAGAGCCTTCAGGTTCTGAATGAAGCGTGACCAAGAGCACAGCAGCTGCCACCACCAGAGAGCTGCTGGGGACAGAACAGCAACAATGCCATGACAAACATACGGGAACTCCAATGTGACTCATTCCAAATGCAGCAACACCACTCCAAGGGAGAACTCGGTTTAAGCAGCTTGGTTCAGAAACCGAGAAACTGAGAGAAAAGAGAAGCTCCAAGTACAGAAAGACTCCAAAGAGGAAGTTGTCTGCAGGAAAGGTGAAAAAGTCACAGTTCAGGGCATGCTGAGACTTGTGACTACCAAGAGAGCAGAAGTCACTCCCACTGCTCTCTTTCAGGCCCTGGACTCCACAGCAGGAATGACAGAGACTGCTGCAAAGAAAGCTGAAAAAAAGGAAAAGTGGAAAAAGAGCTTCTGTCCTAAGTAAAAATATACTGGGGATTTTTAAGGTAGAGAGTGGGGCACAACACAGCACTCTGATCCCATTCTACTGTTACCTGCAGCTGCTCACTCCAGGTAACTTGCATCCAGGGTTCAGCTGGCCAGGGATTCATCTGAAGTGTCAATATCAATTAACCATTCAGCAATGATTGTCTAGATAAAACTGATGCTTAACTAATTTTTTTAGGAGAAAGAATGATCCAATAATTATCGTTCCACTGATCAAAACAACCAACATCTCTGGGTACGTGTGTTTATTTCAAGATAGGCCTGGTTTTGATCTTTGTGATTTGTGGTCCAGGTTCTGTACATCAAGGAGTGAAAACTGCTAAGCAGGTCACGGATCAGAGAACAGCTTAGCACCAACTAATTAAGATTACAAGCTGACCACAGGTGATGATAGAACTGCAGGACAGTTTGGGTTGGAAGGGACCTTCAAAGGCCATGTAGTCCAAGTGCCTGCAATGAGCAGGGGCATCTTCTGCTAGACCAGGTTGTTTAGAGCTCCATTCAACCTGGCACTGGATGTTTTCAAGAATGGAGCACCCACCACCTCTCTGAACAACCTGTGCCAGTGTTTCACCACCCTCACAATGAAAAAAGAAAAAAATAAATCCTCACAGTTCTGCAAGTTTATACACATTGATCTAGAAAAAAATATGACGGCTGAAAATCAGAATTAACCTCGAAAGAGATCTCAAGAGCACAGGCAACAGATAATTCACTGGGGAATTTATTCAGATGTGCACTAGAATTTATTCCACTAGTGATCCTTCAATAACAGCAGGTACTCTCCTAGGTGACCTCATCTCCTTAAACACTAATCATGGATAGCAGGGAACTTAGATTGTATCAATAACCTTATTCCAGGCCTTAAAAGCCTTCCTAACCTTTAGGGAGCGAAGGCACAAACATACCTCACCAGCAACGCCTGTCAAAACCCACCAGGCTCCCAAAACCCGCAGGGCACAGCTCCACGGCCACCTCAAGAAAGCAGTGGGAGGCCAAGTTCCCTCAGAGCAGTGTATCAGCTGCTGCAATCACACGGCCGGGCTGACCGGGAAACTGAGTCAGCTGGGGCGGGACACGGACTGCGTCCTCAGCCACGGGGTAAAGAGGGAACAGCTCCTCAAAAACGCCGCTATCGGCCGTTTTCCCCACTGCCAGCCAGCGCCTTCCCTCCCCTCGTCTCCCCACAGCCCCTCAGCCCAGACATTCCCCTCAGGACGGCGGGGAGCGGGGGGAGCTGTTCCCGCTCGCCTCAGGCCTCTACCGCTACTCACCCTCCAGGCTCTCACACTGCACCAGGTTCACGTAATCGCCTTGCCGGAGCACGCCCGCCTTAAAGCCGCGCACCAGCCCCTCCAGGTAGCCGTTGTCCACGTTGAAGTAGAGCTCGGGGAAGCACGACATGGCGGCGGCAGCTCCGCCGCCTCACGTGACCGCCGCGTCACGTGGCACGGCCCCTTCCCGGCAGCCACCGCGGGGCGGGAACCGCCTGAGGGATGGAGCGCGCGCGGCCCCGCCCGCCCTGAGGGACCCGCCGTGAGGGACCCGCCGTGAAAAACGCCTTTTGTGAGGGGCTGTTCGCCGATATTGCAACGAATGTTACACGGGTAGTGTTAGAAAGTTATGCTCTGTTAATTCTCTTAAGTGGTGTGTTAAATAGAGTTTTAGGTTCCAACATAATGTTAAAATAGAGGCTGTGAAAGATGCATATTGTATGATTAGCTTTCCGCAAGTGTTACAATGAATGTTATATGTGTAATGTTAGAAAGTTATGCTGCATTAATTCTCTTAAGTAGTGTGTTAAATGTAGTTTTAGGTTCCAACTTAATGTTAAAATAGAGGCTATGTATGTGGGGGGAGGTTTTGTTTTGTTTTTTTTTTTTTTTTTAGGAATGAGATACTCGCTTCGAGGAACACCTAAATCTTCCAAAGAAAAGGAATTTATGGTTTTCTTATCAGAAGAAGCTAATTTCTTCAGGCCTTGCTCAGACTCGAAGATGCCTTGGGGATTAAAGGAAACAGTTGACATACAACAGACAGAATTCTTGTTTTAAATAGAATGTATGCATAACCATGAAGGATATATGAATATGCAACAGGCTGTTGCTTTTAAGGTTATTCCTTTGTTCACAAGGGATGCTTTCAGTGACTTAGTGTCCGAGAGCATCCGGACACATCCGTAATTCTTTGCTTTTTATTGTCTTGTAATTGTCTTAACTCTAAACTTTATTACTCTAATTGTATTACTATTTTTATAACCATTTTATTACTATTAAACTTTTAAAATTTTAAAAACCAAGTGATTGGCGTTTTTCACACTCCCCTTCACTGCACCCAGGAGGAGGAGACACAGGTAAAGTTCTCAGAGTTGCCTACTGCCGAGACACCACTGCTACTAGTCAGGAAATACCCACCCGGTTAAAGGGCTTTGCCAGGTGCTGCTCTGTGAAAAAATAAAATATTTTTGTTTGATGTAAAGGTGTTGCAAAGTGTGGGATATGTCAAGGTTATATTAAGGCAAGATGTTCTTTGATGTAAGACCTCAAACCTCATCAGGAAGAAAGGAGACTGGATCAGTGGAACAGGCAGCAGCCAGCATCCCTCACTCAAGAATATCCTGGAACAAGCTTTAAGGATGTAGTAAGTCAAGATGGTGATGTATGTACATGATGGTTAACATGTACGTTAACCTGGCGAAATACTCGAGGTCTGTGTATCCTAGAGCTGAGCTGTCTTCATTGTAACACTAAAAATCACATCTGAAGGGTCAAAAAGACCCTTCTCCTGAGCATGAGTAAAAGTTACCTGGATTAAGTTATGTGATTTCTGTGGAAATTACTAACCAGTCTTAACTGGGCTGTCCTTGGGAAGTTACTAACCCTGAGTTTCTCTGTGTAAATAGTGGCACAGAAAGTCTGATGTGGTGTGCTGGATTTGTGGAATAGCACCGAGCACCCAGGCTGGGGCAGCTCTGAAAGAAACAATCCACGTCCCTCTGAGTGTGTCATTATCGGCTCGGTGCACACCAATAACGAGCCTGATTTTGTGGGTAACAGCAGCATAGCCAGAACATCACCTGGGGTGCCCCTGCTGCTGGAACAGCGCTTACATCGCCAGGAGAGGCACCTCTGGTTTGATGTGGGTGTGTCCTGGGGACACTGCCCAGCTGTGCACAGGCCACCCCGCCTTGCTGCCACCCCCCTGAGAGCCCGAGGGGACACGGCACAGCACTCCCACTCTGCCATGGCTTTGCAAAGGGCTGCTTTATTGGAGCTGCAGAGAAGGAGGCGCACGCAGGGGCGCTAGTTCTTGCCGCAGGGGAAGGTGGTGCTGATTTTCCTGCAGTAGCAAAAGGCGTTGAAGAAGCGGCAGTAGCAGGTGGCACAGGGGTCGCAGCAGGGGATCTGGTGGCCGAGGCAGGACTCCAGGAGACGCACGCAGCGGCGCGGGGAGCGCTCCTCACGGCCCTCGGCTTGCAGTTCTGTGGATGATGCCTGCCGGGGAGAGAGGAGGAAGAGGAGGAGAAGAGCTGGTCCGGGACCACTGTGCCAGCAGTAAAGAACCGTGTGGGAGAGAGCCAAGAGTGGCTGCTGGAACTTGGCATTGCCAGCAGCACAGGCTTCTGTCATGTTCAACTCTGGGCTCTATTTTCTCTTGGAAATCACTGCTGAGCACTGTGGACTCTCTGCAGGTTCAGCAGTGCACTCATCCACAGTGTCTTATGGCCTTTCTGCACACATTTATTTTGAAGCACAGCCTGGACGTTAGCAAACGGTACTGTGCCTTCTGCCCAAACAGAGACACTGAGGGCTGAGCCAGGCAATACAGGGCACTGCCCAGCAAACTCCTGCTCTGCAGAGGCTTCCTGGGCTGCACTTGAGCTTTATTAAGTGGATTACAGGAGCACGGGCTTGGACCACTCTCCTTTGACTGCTGGAGCCCCTTGGAGGTCTGAGCAACCTCAGCTCATCCCAGTTCCTCAGGTGATGGTCAGATAGTCCTGTAGCAGGCAGCACCGTGCTGGGCTCCAAACCCCCAGCCCCAGGGACACAGAGAAGGCTGCTTGGCCTGAGACTGCCCTGCTCTTAGGGGTGTCTGTAAGAAAGCTCAGGGAGCCATACCTGTGGTTCCAGCAGGCTGCCTCTCTGCACGAGGTCACCATCAGCTTCTTGGACCCCCAGGGCCATCTGCTCAAAGCCCAGCCTTGGGAGAGCTCCTGCGAGATACAGAGAGACTGCACAAGGAGGCTGCTGGAGGGGCAGCTCGGGGTCTTCTCCCTTTGCTCGTGTGTCCCCACAAGAAAAAAGACCCCACTCCCTGTGGGCTGCCAGGCTGCTCTCACTAGCAATGCCAGGAGAAGCTGTGCTGCATTAAGGGGACCCCCAGTTCAGTTTTGGGGCCCTGGGTTTTCCAGCAAGCAGCCGGTGGGGTCAGTGAAGCAGCACTCACCTGCCGGCTCCGCAGCCGCCTCCTTGCCTTTCCGCTGCAGGCTGGCCTGCCGGGCTCTGTCCACCCGCTCCAGCCCGCCGCTCGCCTTCTGCAGCTGGCCACAGCTCAGGTCAGCAGTCCTGAGGTCCAGGGCAGCCTGGATGCCCTGCAGCAGCCCACAGCACAGCAGCAGCACGTTCAGCATGGTCCTGGGGGAACTCTGCAGAGGGACCTGGCCGGCATCAGCCCACCTGCTGGCACCTGGCCTGTCCCATCCACTGCCATCCTCCCCCGCCGTGTCAGCGAGGGCCAGCCTCTGCCAGCACAGCCACCACTCCCACCTGTTTCTTCCCTTGGATTTGAGAGACTTTTTTTGGGCCCACAGACACCTGGGAGCAGGAGCCCCCAAGGCTGTCATGTGCTGTGGGGCACTGCACATGTGAGCACATTCATGATCTCCCCACAGAAAGGGGTGTCCAGCAGAGAATGGACAGAGATTTGATCCGTTTTGCGTCAGTTCAGGTTCTTCTGCTCCACACACAGCAACCACCAGACCATTGAGGTGCACAGTGTGTGGTCAAAACATCTGACACAGCTCCTGCCAGGCTCTGAGCCTGGAAGTGCCACTAGAATCTGAGTGCTGGGCAGAGATATGGACCACAGCACACACAGCTGGGGGACAGGAGAAGCTGCAGGGCCAGGCTGTGGGCTTTGGGGCCTGAAGGCTCTAAAAAGTAGGTGACTTCTTAGGGAGCGAAAGGAAAGGGGCCAGGAGGTGGTATCCACCAAATGTCAGCCAAATCCTTGGAAACCCTGTGCCTGCTGCTTGGGCAGCCTTGAGGTTCCAAACCTGGCTCCAACAGCCCAGTGCTGGCCACTCCTCATCTCCCCATCCCACAAAACCACCCAGCTCTTTGCTGGGAGAGATCCCTCTGCACTGTGGGGAGCCCCACAGCCGTGGGCATCACATCCCGCATGCTCCCGAGCCCCTTCCCGTGGTGAGCACTGACCTCTCCCAGCAGAGGGGAATTGCTGTCCGCTGCTCCGCTGAGCTCGCTGGAAGCTCCGCTACCGCTCGCTGCCTCAGTGTCCTCCTCCCCACATGTTTACTGGGATTTATATCAGCTTTTCATTAATTAAGTGCTGTAGCCACATGACTTTGCTAACTACCAGGTAGGTGGGAGTCTCTGGAAAACGGGCTTTGTCTGGATAGAGAGGCAGCCAGTGGGGTGATGCATGGGAGGGGGGGACTCCTGCTTTGTGACTTCCACAGCTGCGGGAAGGAACAGATCCCTGTTAGCTCCAAACTCCCAGGGTTTTTGGAAGTGATCCCCACTGTCCTTGCGGCCCACTTCCCTTTCCAGCACCAAACCTGAGTACATCTCCTAGTTCCCAAATACAGAAATAACGGGGCTACAATCTCCTCACCAAAACCATGCCAAGCTTGACTGCTTTTCAGAGGGAATGTTGCCTATCTGTATCTTCTGTCAAGCATCCACTGATAGTGCAGAGCCTCCAGAAGTCCTCCAGCTCCTGACCACATACCATCTGCAGATTCTCCAGCCTTCTACCTGTGCTAACTGCATCTCTTACTCATGTCTTATTTGGAAAACCTGCATCCCCCCAGAGCCAGGCTCCTTTGGGGAGCACTTGTGGCCTTGAGTGGCTTCAGCCCTACGAGGAATTGGGGGAATAAGACATAACAGGAAGGGTTCAGCAGGCTCTGACATTCCCAGCAGGGAAGGCTGACAGCCCAGGTTCTTCTCTGCCCTCACCAGGTTCTTCCTAGACTGGGAGGACCCCTCAGGCCTCCCACTACATCCTCAGCAGAGCGTGAGACACTGCTCCTGGCTGCAGCACCACCTCTGGGGCTCTTGGCACGCTCCCTCTGCTCTTACATCCCCTGTCCTGGCACGACCTGATTCCTGCTGCATTGAAGGGACAGGCTGAGCAGGCACCAGTGAGGAGTTCATCTGCCGTGTGTCATTTTCTCCAGCTGCTCGTGGCTGCTGGAAACACTCGGCACCCACCTGGGTCCCCCAGTGCACAACACCCGCTCAGCATCCCCTGCCACAGCACCTGGGTGCCTCCTGCACCCCCCACATGCCCGGACAGCCTCATCCGGGGTGAGAGGCAGGCTCGGCAGCCCTTTCCATCGCCGAGGCCCGGGTGGGTGCCAGTGTCCCACGCAGCCCCAGCCGCGGGTCCCCGCTGCCCGCAGCCCCCGCACGGAGCCCCAGCACAGCTCATTAGCGCCCGTTCGCAGCCGGCGGGGCCGCGGGCCAGGACTTCTGGGAAAGCATTAACGGGAACGAGGGCGGCCGCCCTGAGAGCTTTTTAATCTGCAGCAGCAACATCTGCTTTGTGCGCATCCCCATCGCCAGTAACGAGCTAAATGAGGCGGCCGGCCGCTCGCCGGGCCGCTTCCAGGAAAAGACGGGCTTAAAGCGAGGGGGAAAGGGGGGCCAGGGCTGCGTCCCGGCTCAGTGGTTCAGGCTCCAGAGAGGCTGGGAGCGGGTGATGGAGTGGGTTAGTGGCACAGCAGCGATGCCGAGCAGAAGCCCCCAACGGCGGGACCCTCCGGAGACAGGCCCGGGCTGGGGGCTCTCCCTCTCCTCCTGGAAGCATCAAGGCAGGCGGGCGGCTCATTTAGCTCATCACCAGCCCCCGTTACCGCTAAGGCCAACCGAGTCCCCGCTACCCCAAACGGGCGGTAACGAGCCGGGCCGCGGGGATGCCGTGGCAGCGGTACCCCGGGGCTGCCCCTCGGAGGTGCGATGAGCATCGCCCCGGTCCCGGCCCCGCCGGCCCTTTAAGGCGCGGTCCCGGAGCCGCCTGACGTCAGCGGGGCGGGCGCGCCCCGGCACCGCAGCCCCGCGGCCGCAGCTCCGCGCCCCAGCGAGCGCGGCTCCGCCGGGGCGCACCGGGTGATCGGCGTGGGTATCGGGGTGCCCGGGCCGCTAGAGGGGGAGCATGGGGGTGCACAGCGTGCTGGGGTCTGCGGGTGAGGGCATGGCGGGGGCAGGGATGGTGGGGATTGGAGATGGGGATACGGGAGTGACAGGGGTGCTGAAGACCTGACGGTTGGTGTTATGGGGGGGGGGCTCGGAGTGCTGCGGGCTGGAGATGGAGGTCTGGGGGTGCCAAGAGGTGCTGGGTAGTGGAGGTGAGCATATTGGGGTAGCCAGGATGCCGAATACCTGGAGGTTGGTTATTATTGGGGTGCCCAGGATGTTGGGGTCTGGGAGTATGGGGTGACAGGGGCACTGGCGATTTGGAGGTAGGAGTATGAAGTGCTCAGACTGCTGGGAATCAGGAGAGAAGGGGTATGGGGCTGCTCAGGGTGATGAGGGACTGGAGGCAGGAATATTGGGGTGCCCAGAGTGCTGCAGTTCTGGACATCTGGAGGAGAGGGTATCAGGATATCCTGGGGTGCTGGGAAATAGAGGGATGTATCGGGATGTCCAGGATGCTGGGAACTGAAAGCGGGGTGTTGGAGTGCTCAAGATGCTGAGGACCTGGACATGGGGATTATGGGATGCCCTAGGAGATGGAAGATGGAAGTATTGAGATTTCCAGAGTACTAGGAACTGGAGATGGGGATACAGATGGGGGTCTAGGTCCTGGGATGGGGACTGGGAGGAAGAGTGTCAGGGGTGCCCAGGCTGCTGGGGACCTGATGTCCTGGCAGTGCTGGTAGCAGTGCTGCTGGGGGACCTGGTATTCAGAAGCACCCCGTCCCTCACCCCACGTTACTCAGCATCTCCTCACCCCACAGCGCCTGATGCCCGTCCCCACCTGACGGCAGCGCCATGGCCGGGGCACAGGGCTGCGGCGAGGGCAAGATCGCGGGGCTGTATGACCTGGAGCGCACGCTGGGCAAGGGCCACTTCGCCGTGGTGAAGCTGGCCCGGCACGTCTTCACTGGGCAGCGTGTGGCCGTCAAGGTGATCGACAAGAGCAAGCTGGCGGGGGAGGCGGCGGGGCAGCTCCTGCAGGAGGTGCGCTGCATGAAGCTGGTGCAGCACCCCAACGTGGTGCGCCTCTACGAGGTCATCGACACCCACGCCAAGCTCTACCTCATCCTGGAGCTGGGCGACGGTGGGGACATGTTTGACCACATCATGCGGCACGAGGGCGGCCTGGCCGAGCCACGGGCCAAGCACTACTTTGCCCAGATCGTCCATGCCATTTCCTACTGCCACAAGCTCCACGTGGTGCACCGCGACCTCAAGCCCGAGAACGTGGTCTTCTTCCAGGAGCAAGGGGTGGTCAAACTCACCGACTTTGGCTTCAGCAACCGCTTCCAGCCCGGCAAGATGCTCACCACCAGCTGCGGCTCCCTGGCCTACTCGGCACCAGAGATCCTGCTTGGGGATGAGTATGATGCCCCGGCTGTTGGTAAGGGCTGAGGGCTGCCCTGAGGACCTGCCTCCCTCCTGTCCCTTGCCTGGAGTGTGATCTTGCCAGCTGGGTACCACCTCCCACTTGGCCCCTTACACTAGGAGCACACGGCAGCGCTGCCGTCCCTGCAAGGAACAAGCTGTCCCTTGGGTGCTTGGCACAGCAGGGTCCTCCCTGCAGAGACCATCCCGGCATCCACAGAGATCCCATGGAGTGATGGTTGCCAGAGAGGGGAAAAAGCCCAAGCAGGCTGTGAGCCTGGTGTGGCAGCCAGGAGAAGCAGTGTGAGGATACAGCTGCCAGCAATCTGGCGCTGGTGGTTATTTGGCGAGGCGAGGCAGGAAGGAAATCTGCTCGGGATGCTGCTGTTTGGGCGGAGGAGCTCCGAAAGTTTCCTTTGCTCCATCCCCGCCCTGAAAACCACTTCCTCCCCATGGCTCTCTGTGCTCTTCCTGCCCTGGTGCAGGGGAGGTGCAGGGGTCTGGGGAGACTGGCCAAGGGCACAGGGAGCTGGGCTGGGGGCTCCAGGAAGCTCTGCTGTGACACAGGGGACGTGGGAGGGAAGCAGGATCCGAGCTGGCTGGCTGGCTGGAATTAGGGCAGGAGGATTTAGCAAAGCAAAACACGAGCCCTTAAAGGCAAAAGCCCAGCGTTGGCTCAGGGAAAGGCGGATCCGAGCTGAGAACAGGGATAGCTTATGGAGGCGGTAGAAAAATAAGCTGGTGGCGCTGCAAAGGGAAATGAAGAGAGAAAACCGATGCAGATGAGAAATTTTCAAACACTTGACTTAAGCAGCTGAAGGTATTAGCGGAGCGCCCCAGGGCGTGCTCAGCATCCTAAACCCACACATCTGCAGGAATTTGTGTGCTGGGCAGGAGGAGCCAGTGAAGATGCTTCTGGCTCCATCCCTGTCCCTAGGACAAGGCAGTAATCCTGCTCCAGCTGGTCCCCATGCAGCTGGAGAGCCTAGATCGGTGCTATATCCCTCTCTGAAGCTGTTGTGTCTCCTAAAGCACAGCCCAGGGCCAGGATGGTTGTGGTGGGGTTTGGGAATCAGGAGCTGAGGAATCACCTGAAGCAGTGCCATGGGTGGGTGTGGGACAGGGGGGAGTGGGGGCAGAGCTCAGGGCTGGCCTTCCTGTCCCTACCTGGACAAGGTGATAACACCTCAGCTGCTTTGGTGAAGTCCCTTGAGACCTGTTTGGATATGGGGATGGGACGGTCCTTCCCTGCCTTGGTGGGAGTATGGTCCCCCTCTCCAAGGGGCAAGACCTCTGTTACCTCCAAGGAACATCCCAGTGAGCACTGGTGGGCAGCCCCTCCCAGGGTCCCTGGGGTAGGGAATCTCCTGGTCCATGGTGAGTGCAACCTGAACTGCTGCTGCTGCTGCTTCTTGCAGACATCTGGAGCCTGGGAGTCATCCTCTACATGCTGGTGTGTGGCCACCCCCCCTTCCAGGAGGCCAACGACAGCGAGACCCTCACCATGATCATGGACTGCCGCTACACCGTCCCCCCGCACGTCTCGGCACAGTGCGCTGAGTGAGCACCACCCCCTCACTGTACCCCCAGACCCCAACTTGCTGCCCCTGGGGTGGGTGCCCCAGCCCTGGCAGATGCCTGGGAGCTGAGGTGGGGAGAGCAGGCAAAGCTGCTTACTTTGGGATTCACACAGTGTGCAGGATTGCAACGTCACTCCTTTTCCCCAGTCTCATCTCCAGGATGCTGCAGCGGGACCCGAAGCAGCGAGCGTCCCTGGAGCAGATCGAGGGCCACCCGTGGCTGCAGGGGGTGGACCCGTCCCCTGCCAGCCGCTCCCTGCTGCCCCTCACCTCCCACAAGCGCGTGTCTGAGGAGGAGCACGAGATCATCCTCCAGGCCATGATGTGCGGGAACATCGCGGATCGGGACACCATCCAGGAGTGAGTGACGGGATGCGGGGGTGGGAGACCCGCTGAAGGGCTCTGGGGGTCCCTCCAAGCATGTCGCTTGTGTGCTGCTGCAACTCCCTGGTCCCACACAGGGCGCTGGAAGCCGACCGCTACAACCACATCACGGCCACGTACTTCCTGCTGGCGGAGAGGATGCTGAGGGAGAAGCAGGAGAAGCAGGGCCACCGCCTCAGTCTCGTTTACAACCTGGCCAAGGAGGTACAGAGCAGGTGAGCCCCGCTGCTGCCGCCCATCCTGTGTCACCCTCCCCCCATCCTGGGTCCTCAGAGCAGGGTCATGGCCGGTCCCCTGTCCTTTTCCTTGTCGCAGCCCTTGTGATGCCCAGCTGGGCACTGACACCTCTCTCCCCTCCCTCAGGCCCAACCTGGCAGACACGTTCGGCTCTGCGGGCAGCGCCGGCAGCCTCCTGCCCTTCACGGAGAGGGGCGGCCTCGCCGGGGGGCCGCGGCTGCCCGCTGGAGGGGACACCGCCGGGACCCTGCTGAAGGTTCCTGCCGTGGACACCACCATCACCAAGAGCACCCCGGCCCTGCAGCAGATCTGTGAGGAGGAAGAGGAGGATGAGGAGGAGGAGGAGAGACCCAGCGCAATGGAGAGGAAGAGCAGCTCTCTGAACCAGGAGCAGATGAGAGCCTTCCTGCGCGCCCACCGCCCGCCCGGCCGCGGGGAGGTCTGGGGGCCGGGGGTGGAGTTGGGGGGCCGGGGCGGGCGCTCGGGGGTGCCCTGGGCTGGGAAGGGAGTGAGTGGGGGCCGCGGTCCCCCCGTGCTGCGGGGAAATGGAGGTGAGCCCCTGAGGAGGGAGGAGGACACAGAGCCTGGGGGCTCCTCAGCAGAGTTCCCCAAGGAAAAGGGAGCTGTCCTGTCACCCCAGAGCAGCTCAGCTGAAGTGCCCCAGGTATTGGGGGCAGAGACAGCTCCTGCCACCCTTCCAAGTCCTGCAGACATGTCCCCAGGGCAGGGGGAACAGATCAGCCCAGCCCAGCAGTCGGTGGAGAGCTCAGGCCCTGAAGGGGGAGCAGAGAGTGTGATCAAGCTGGACCCGGGCAAGAGCAAGGGGGGCAGCCTGCGGGACAGGCTCCTGCAGTTCCCGCTCTGCGAGAAAGCCCTGGCCTTCAAACTCCGGCCGGGCTCCAAGGAGAGCCTCTTATCCCTGGGGCAGTTCAACTGCTGCCATGTCATTTAAGGCCCCGGGACTGGCCCCGCTGTGGGGACTGGGAGGGCGCCCACTCCCCTGCCTTTGGTCTGTGGTGGCTGTAGGGCTAGCGGGTGGCACAGTGCCCTGCTTTGTCACCCGCGGTGGCCACCCTGCCAGCACCCACCCCTGCAGCCTGCTCTGACAGACCATCTCCTGGACAGGCCTGCCCAGGGTGAAGCAGACTGGGGTCCACCCCAGCACCAGCCAGTGTGGCCCCAAACCTCTGGGAGAGCTCCATGACCCTGCCGGAATGCGATGGACCACGACACTTTTTTAACTACTAGAAATAATTTTTTTAAATAGTCTATTTTAATGTAATTAAATAGAGATTGCTATATCCCCCCAGACCCCTCAGTGCCCCAGCCCCACAGTGTGCATGGCCCGGGGCTGGGCTGTCCTGCCTGCAGCCCCCCCACCAGCCCTGATCGGGGCCAGGCACAGCCTGGCCCGTCACCCCAGGCTGTCCCCTGGGCCCTCTCTGCAAATAAGCTTCCTATTTATTATTTCTTTGTTTTCTTGCTGGCAAGAAATGAATGACGACGGAGGCATGGGCCGGAGCTCGGCCTGAGCTGTGGCACATGCGCCTGGAAGGATCGGAGCCGCTGGGAAGCAAAGTTTGTCAGGACAATAAAATAAACTCGTGGGTTGATGTGGGTGCAGTGTCATTGCAGAAACATCTCCGTCCCCCCAGCCAGGGCACCAGGGGTGGCTTTAAGGGAACATCTGTCTGAGCTGGGGTGGGCAGGGGCCCAGAATGGAGCTCAGGGCAGCACAGACGGGAGTAAGGACAAGGCTGATGAACACCCAAAGGTGAGAGAAGGCCTGGGCATGCCAGAAGGCAGGTGGAGGGTGTTGCACATCCCCTTGAGAGTCAACCACACTCAGCCTCAGGGTGCCCCCAATAGCTTTCCCCACTCTCAGCCTGGAGCCATCCCTGAGCCCCCAATTTCAAGCCCAGCCCGGGTTTCCTTCCCTCCAGCTCTGCTGTTCCTTTTCTATCCATCCATCCTCCTCCCTCCTTTCAGGTGTACCCCTGATAGCTCCCTTGTCTGTCCTCCCCATCCAACATGAGATCTGGGTACTGGGTGGTTGAACAGAGCAATCTGTGTGGGTCTGAGGTGGGAGGTGACAGGAAAAGAAGGACAGGGGGTGCCCTAGGGACCCTGCAGCCCCCACAGGGCCCCAGCAGCAGGAGGGGGATGCTGCTCCTGCCCACACGCTCTCATTTTTGATCTTAAAGGATAAAGCCACCGCCTGAACAGGGGCTTGAACCCTGGACCCTCAGATTAAAAGTCTGATGCTCTCCCAACTGAGCTATCCAGGCTCACATTTGGGCAGGGGGGGTGCAGGTCTGTGACAGGTGGGGGCACCCCACTCTCCTCAGCATTGCAGGGACAATCTGGGGACCCACTCTGCTGTTTCCCACTCCTGCGCCACCCCAACGAGGCTGCCAGCGCAGGCCAGGCTGAAGCCGGGCTCTGGGAATGGCCCTGGGCACTGAGCGGGCACAGGGAATGGCCCCAGGCACTGAGCGGGCTCTGGGAATGGCCCCGGGCACTGAGCGGGCACAGGGAATGGCCCCGGGCACTGAGCGGGCACAGGGAATGGCCCTGGGCACTGAGCGGGCTCTGGGAATGGCCCCGGGCACTGAGCGGGCACAGGGAATGGCCCCGGGCACTGAGCGGGCTCTGGGAATGGCCCCGGGCACTGAGCGGGCACAGGGAATGGCCCCGGGCACTGAGCGGGCACAGGGAATGGCCCCGGGCACTGAGCGGGCACAGGGAATGGCCCCGGGCACTGAGCGGGCTCTGGGAATGGCCCCGGGCACTGAGCGGGCACAGGGAATGGCCCCGGGCACTGAGCGGGCACAGGGAATGGCCCTGGGCACTGAGCGGGCCACCCACATATTCCATTGCCCGTCCTCCCCATTCCTCAGGAAGGGACCCTCTGCCCCACGGGGAACCCACCCTGCCAGTCCAGCCTTGCCCAGCTCGGAAGGGACTGGAGAAGATGAAAGCCAAACCCAGTTGCAGACAGGGCGGGGGAGCCCCAGGGACAGCCCGCAGAGAAGCCCGTGGGGGCTCTTCAAACGCCTCGTGCGCACTAATTGGCTTCATTAGAGCAGCCAGGGACGGCATCAGCCCCGCTTCTGCTGGGGCTGGGGACAGCACTAATGAGTCGGGGAACGGCGGCCTCGGGACGGCCCTGGAGGGGAGATCAGAGCCCATACCTACGGTGGGACTGTGTGTGGTGTCGACTGAACAAGAGCACAAGCTCAATTATCCTGATTAATTAGAGCCTGCTGCTTTTACCCCATGTCTGGAGCTGGGACCGCACCGGTGCGCGGCCCCCCGGCAGCCACGGAGGCACCGCCGCCCCCCGGGGTGCACTGGCCCGGGCTGGACACACCCGCGGAAAGCCGTGCGGTGGTCCCTGGATGCCACAGAGAGGCACCACAGGGACCTCAGACCCTTCGGGAGGTGCTCGGAGGCTGGACCCCACACAGACGGACTGCGAGCCCACCGCGAGCAGGAGGCTCCCGGGCGCGTTTCCGCCGCTGCTCCTCCGGCGCTTTATGTCCCTTTTTGGCCACCGTTAGCCCGGCTCATGGGGGCGGAGCCCCCCACCCGGAAGGGCCCGACCGGGACCACGTGGTGCGGGACCACGTGTTGGCATTGTCATGGCGTCGGCGCCCAAGCGGTTCAAGGTGCGGGGCAACCGGGGGCTCGGGGAGCGGGGCACACACCTGCTCTTGGGACGGCGGCGCTGAAGGGATCCGTGATCGGCCTCGTGGCTCCTTCCCCTTCACCCTATGTTCCCATCCACAGGCGGCGGTCGGGAGCGGCGCCCAGGGGAAGAGTAGTGCCGACCCCCTCTCCGGGTTCCTGGCATGGTGCGGGCGGGCCGGGGTGGAGCTGAACCCCAAGGTGAGGCACCGCGGGCCGGCCCGGGCACGGCCTAGGTCCGCCCTGGTCTCTTCGCTCCGCCCCTCACCGCTCCCTCCGGCCCCAGGTCCGCCTGAGCAGGGAGGGCGCGGTGGCGGGGTACGGGATGTTGGCCGCCGAGGAGCTGGAGGCGGGAGAGGTGCTGTTCACCATCCCTCGCACGGCGCTGCTGTCCCAGCACACCACGTCCATCCACGCACTCTTGCAGGAAGGTGAGTGCAAGCTTCTTGTGTCACTCGAGTCTGCAGTACCTTTTAAAGGAGTAAATGGATCTGTGGTAAAGCCTCGGGAACGTTCCTGATTTGCGCAGGATTCTGTAGGGCTGTTTGATACCAGGTAGGAAAGAGGAGGGCTGGGCATCCCCTTGCTTCCCTCAGAGCTGTGCTGCACAGGGAGAAAAGTCCATCAGTGCAAAATCTCCAGCTTCTGTACTAAGCTGCTTTCCTTGAAGCACTGTTAAAAGAAGAGTTCATTGGTTCCTGAAGGCATGAAGAGCCTCAGGCTGAGGAGGGCAAGGCCATGAGGCCTGGAAGAACTCATCTGTAGCTGCAGAGAAGCTGTCTGGTCCTGGTTCAGCTCAGGACAAACCCAAGACAAACTTGAATAAAAGCTCAACCCCGTCTCCAGGCTGAAGACAGGCATGGAAGCTTGTCATCTAATAATTTGATTTTGAAATCAGAACAATTAAGGTTTTCTCCATCCTGTCTGGTTCCGTAGCCCAGGAGTCCCTACAGAGCCAGTCCGGTTGGGTCCCTCTCCTGCTGGCCTTGCTCCACGAGTACACAGCCAGCAACTCCCACTGGCAGCCGTATTTCTCCCTCTGGCAGGACTTCCGGAGCCTGGACCACCCCATGTTCTGGTAAGGTGAAAGCAGGGGGGCTGGGGAGGCTCAGTCCTACAGCTGAAGGCAGGCACGGGCCAGGGGGTGCTGAGTGTTGTCCTGGGAAGGGATGTGGTCCTGCTGGGTGACCCCAACCCTCTGTTTGAGCCCTTTGCTGGCACTGGCAGGAGCCTGAGGAGCCCTCCTGGAGTTACATTACAGGCAGAGCTAGAGAACAAGGACCTGGAGAGCACAGGGGAGCTGAGATTTTTAAGGAGGAAGGAGTTTATGGACCCTTAGGCCTAGCACTGATGGAGAAGAACCTGTTTTTCTTGCAACAGGCCCCAAGAAGAGCGAACAAGACTCCTGCAGGGCACAGGCATCCCAGAAGCTGTGGACAAGGATCTAGCTAACATCCAGCTGGAGTACAATTCCATCATCTTGCCTTTCATGGAGACCCACCCCGACATCTTTGATCCCAAACTGCACACTCTGGAGTTGTATAAGGAATTGGTGGCATTTGTCATGGCTTACAGGTGAGAAGGAAGGGCTTTGCTCCAGCAAGGAGCACGGACAAGGAAGTAGGAGTACAGGCTATGTCAGAGGTTGCAGCTGCACAAGCATCTAAGTGTAAGGTGAAGCTTGCCCTCTGCAGCCGTGTGTACCACTGGCTTGTCTTAGCTTTCAGGAACCTTTGGAGGAGGAAGAAGAAGATGAGAAGGGGCCCAATCCTCCCATGATGGTTCCTGTAGCAGACATTTTGAATCATGTGGCCAACCACAATGCCAACCTGGAATACTCTCCTGTGAGTGCAAAGCTGTTGTGCCAGGCAATGTCACAGCTTGGTTCTGTTTTACTAAGACTTATGGGAATGGATGCACAACAGGGTGGGGTCTCAACCCAGGGCAGCAAGTTTGGCCTGGATCTCATTAAAACAAAGCCCTGCTGCATGTTTGGTTAGGAGGAGCTCAGGGTCATCCAAGCCTCTGAAAGCTCCTGTTGAGCAGTTGGATCAGCACAGCTCAGATGCTCTCCTGTCCCTGCTTGCAGCAATGTTTGAGGATGGTTACAACGCAGCCCGTGAGGAAAGGACAGGAGATCTTCAACACGTATGGGCAGATGGCCAACTGGCAGCTGCTGCACATGTACGGCTTCGCAGAGCCCTACCCCGGCAACAGCCACGACACAGCCGACATCCAGATGGTGACGCTGCGCAGGGCGGCTCTGCAGCGTGAGTGCCCCCCAGCCCCTCTGGGACAGGATGGGCCAGGGATCTCTGTTCAGCAGGGATGACATGAAAAATAAGTCTGTTCTGCAGTATTTCAGGGGTTGGGGCCATGCCTTAGTTTTCTGCCTCCTTTTTCCTTCTCCATTCACCCTCCCCCCTCCACTGCCATCCTGGCACAACAGAGCTCTGCTGTGTTCAAAACAGGTGCCAAAAGTGAAGCACAGCAGCAGCTGGTCTCAGAGCAGTGGGACTTCTTGTGCCAGCTGGAGATGGTGGGCGAGGAAGGTGCCTTTGTGCTTGGCTGGGATGAGGTGTTGACAGAGGAAGAGCTGTCCATGACCCTCAAGGTAAGAATGGCCTGGTGGGGGAAGAACTGCAAAAGCGAGCACAGAGTGCAGCTGGGCATATGAGCAGTGCAGAATGGCTCAGTGAGGAGGACAAGCACCTGAAGGCAGTTTGGCACTAACAGTCCTACGTGAACAGTGGTAGGGGGTGTGGCTCCCCAGCTCCCAGGTGCTCTTAAGTCTCTTCCTCTCCTGAAGTAGCCATCCAGTGTGAATTCACACACTTGAATGGCTCCACAGACACTGCTGTTCTAGAAGGTAGTTGAGAGCTGAGATGCTTTGCAAGACCTACCAATACTCAGATTTACTGTTTTAATGTTCTTCTAACCCACGATTACTTGCACTTAGGTATCTAAACCTGTTTTAGTCTCTTAATCTTTAGTGCAGCTGAGGAATAACCCTCCACGTGGCTCTTCTGTTCCACAGAGGAGAAAGCCTGATATACTAACACTGCCAGTGATTTATCCCTTTGCCTGGGTCACTACAGGTGCTCTGCATGTCAGAAGAAGAATTCAAGGAGTATAAGGAGCAAGATGGCTGGGAAGATGACAGTGAGGAAGAAGAAAACTCTACCCTTTCAAATGAGGCCCTCTGCAGACTTAAAACCCCTTGCAAGAAGCTCCTTTATGACAGTGTGCTGCTGACCCTGGAGTCCTATGGGGCAGACCTGAAAGCAGAGCAGGACTTGCTAAACAACAAGGAGGCTTATGAGAAACTGAGTCGAAGGGAGCAGCAAGCGCTGCACGTGCGCTACGGACAGAAGAGGATCTTGCATCAGCTGCTAGAGCTGGTACAATAGAAACCACAGTGCCCCTGGCCAGGACCTGCCTGGGGCTGATCCCGAGGGAAAGGTCAGCCTCTGGCCACCTCCTCCACAGCAGAGAGGACAGCTGGCAAGAGTGACTGCGGGTCCACTTGTCCCTCATACAGCACATGGATTTTTAGCTACCTCTACATAAAGAAGTATCTTCACAGCACAAAGGTGGTTTTGAGTGGCCTTATTGTACCATGAGAGCTTGGGTAACGCAAATGCCACCTTTTTCCAGAGGCTTTAAGAAACCCCAGCCATCCTAATGGCTGTTTTAGGAAGGCAGACACACACAGCCAGAACAGCAGAGGATTCCCTCATTCAGCATCGGAAGTTTATGGCAAGAGCTGCTCCTTGTCCAAACTAAGAGGGCAGAAATCCATCCAGCTGGTAGCTCTTACCTTAGAGAGGTTCAGAGTAAATATCTGGCAGGTGAACCTGCTGACAACAGTAAACTCTTCATCTGTACATATTTTATGTTGAACATGTTCGAGAGTACAAGTCCATCTAGCTGGTCTTCATGTAGGCTCAGTATAACAAGTATTTCCTTTTATTTCCACAAAAGGTATTTCTGTGTGGGCTTCAGACTACTCAGGAGGAGCACTGTCACAGTTCCACAGCTGCTGCAGGCTGAGCAATTGATATACACCCTCTGCTTGATGCAGTTCTACCCCGAACTCACTTTGGTTTTGCATGACAAAACACTGAGGGTTGGCAGGCCAAGCTCTATTTAATAAAAATGAGTTTTCTTACCCAGTCCATGCTCTCTACTTCAACAGGGTATGAAGTCCCATCTAAGCAGGGGCATTGTTGTCTGCTACTGCAGACAAGCAAAACCCACATTGCACTCATGACAAAGCTCAGCTACAGCCCTGCCTGCAATCTTGGGGACAGGGTGGTTTAACAGTATTGAGGGGAGCTTGTTCTGGTTTCCCAGTTGGGACAATAGCGAATTTGACCAGAACTGCACACAACTGCCACTATCCTTCATAGAGACATTGTTAAAACTGGTATTTTGGTATCCTGTGTCCCCAAAGTAATCATATTGGAAAATGCACATGCCAGAGGAGTATTATGTTTTGTATCTTGGTTAAACTTTGGGGTTTGTGTTTTAGATGGTGTTTGTTTTTTTTTTAGATGTGCATAGTTGTTATACCTACTGTTTGTAATTGTTTGCCTGCATGGGCATTGGATGTTCCACCTCACTGGAGAAGGGCATTGGATGTTCCACCTCACTGGAGAAGGGCATTTTGAGAACTTCATGTTTACACTCTATTTTTGGATCAAAGGGAAAGCTTGCAGGGGATTCGCTTACTAAGAAAAAGTTGATTATGTGGTGGCCTTTGTATCTATTAGAGAATTACAGAAAATGGCCTCAGAATGGATCCTGCAATTAATGTTCCTTTGTTGCCAGGAAGGAAAACAGGGCAAAGTACCAGATGTTGATCTGTTCTTTGCATTGAAGAATAATGGTAAGGCTTGGAAGGAATGTGGATTGATGACAGCAGACTCTCATGTTTTAGCACTAGAGAAATAAAAAGGAAGTGTAATGAAGAGAATGAGGTGAAGAAGAGAAAGGAAAGGGGAAAAGAGATCAGGAAAGGGAGGGTAAATTTGGTTGATTGCTGTTACAGTTGGAAGGGCAGGAGGTAATGTAAGGCAATCAGATTTCAACTGGTAAATTCCCATCTAGTAGGAAAAATTCAACGGAGTTACTGTAAGCAGAATGGGCACTGGAAACATGCCCACAGAACCCTGGGCACAGGTAATCCTGAAAGATGGGAGACTCCACAAGTAGGAAGACTGCTTACACTCAATTGGGATTTAGACTGAGAGGTCCACAGAATCCTCAACAGAACAGGTTACAGTAAATTTGGGGAATAAAAAAGTAGAATATCTAACAGAGGAGCAACTTGGATGTAAATAAGCCTTCAGTAAACAAAGCACATCTATAGCTGGAGCCATAGGAACAAAGGAAATAAAGCCATTATTCCAGCTACTCAAATTTGGAATTGGAAAGAGTTTTATAAAATTTCTGTACATATCCAAATGCCCAATGCCATTATTAGGAAAAAAAAATAAGTACATTAAATGCAAAAAGAACCTCTGAAAAAGTAATCCATAAACCAGAAGAAAAAGCCCTGGGGCCATAAATGTTTATGTTACAGGATCAAAAACACCCAGAGAGGAAGAGATACCTATAAAAACAGAAGATGGGGTGACTCCTCTCATTTAGGTGACTGGCACTCCTGCAAGATCACAAGAAGCAAAACTGGTAACAATCCAATTAAAACCAGGCACAAGATAGGTAAGATGAAAACAATACCCTGTTAAACTGGAAGCCAAAAAAAGGCTAGAGCCAAACACTGAAAGATTTATTAGCTTTGGGTTGCCTCAGGAATGCCAGTCAGTTTAATACCCCAATTCTACCCATTAAGAAACCATACTCAGATGAGTATCAGCTAGTCCAAGATTTAAGAGCCATAAAGCTTGCACACAAGATGTGCATTAACCACCTAAAAAGACATTGGTAAATGATTTAGGGCATTAGATTTGAAAGATATTCCCTTAAAAAATATATCCTTTTGTATCCCACTGGATGCCAGAATTCAGTGAAATGTAAACTTTAAGGAATTTATACATTTTAGAGGAGCTAAGATTTTAGCCTTACTAGAGTTAATTAAAATAATAATAATAAATGAGTAGGCCTTGATGAAGTTAGGAGTTAGTAGTTAACTAATAATTGATTGCTTGTCAGCACAATGTTTGGTTAGCTGGGTTTATAATGAAGAATATAGAAACTGACAAATAGCTTTTAGGAACATAAGACAATTGTGGGCCTCCTCTGTTCTGAAACCAATTGAAGACAAGGAATGGGAGTTCTACCAAGAGTTCATTTGTCATATTTGCATTGAAAAGGTAGAAAGGTCAGAACGAGGAAGACTTCATTTACTTCCTCATTTTGGGACCCCTCCCCATGAAAGGGACCACCGACCCATTTCAAGGGACAAACTACACATGCTTAATAGCTTTTGGAATGATTAGCATACGAAGTGGGGAATGGGATGTGCCAAAATTATGAATATGTATTTGTATTTTGTGTATTCAATACTTGTATGGATAAAAAGACTCTGTAATCACCTGTAAGGAGTGGTGTGTATTTGGGAGCTATCCCACACGCTGCCCAGCATCGAATAAACATTCACTTTCTAACTTTAAACTGTTAAGAGAGTTTCTGTCCGTCACAGTTGGATATCGGTACTGGATCAATATCCATATTTTTAAAATAAATCATCAGGAGCTGTTTGCATTTGAATGGGAGAATCCTCAAACAGGGCGCTGTCAATTATGCTGCACTGTTTTATCATAGGGATTTAACAACAGACATAGAATGTCTGGAAAACAATGTATTACTGTGTGTCCTTGGGATTGGATATGGGAGGCATAGTAAAAAGTATAGTGAAGAAGAAATGAGAACTGTGTCCACAGTTCCAACTTCAAAAGGCTCAGTTTCAGTACAGCTGCTGACCTGGCAAAGAAATGCCATGGAATTGTAGGACTTAGTTGACACAGAGGTGACTAATGCCTGGAACAGAAAGGGAGAGGATTCCCCCTGAGCTGCCACCCACTGGCACAGCTGGCTCAGTGAACCTTCAGAGCTGTTTTTTCCTCTATACAGCAAATGCAAAGCCAGGTCTGGAACCCCTTAAATCTGAGCAGGAAATCCTGACCTCTCTGCCCACACCACAGCAGTCAACTAAAGCAGCTAACTCTAACAAGCTGATGTTATGTACAAAGAAAGAAGTGAAGCTCTATTTCCTAACATTTGCTAGGTTGAAGGACCTTGCAATATTAATAACACTGAAGCTGCCTAACCTTACAACAGCTAACCACAACCTAGGGCAGATTCCTGCTGCAGGGAGATCACAACAGGGTGGAAGGCACTAGAAATGAAACTGATGGGCTGTCTACACTGTGTTATACCTCCAGTGCAGTCTCCTGTCTGAGACAAACTCTGCTCATGAGCTTGCAACCAAGCCATTTCTATTTTCACACAACTGCCCTTTCTGATGCACTTCAAAACAAGACTCTGTCCAGTCATTACATCTGCCCACTGACCTCATGCTAGAGAACAAACCCCGCTGCTTTCAACAGGCAGTGCCCAAACCACATTGGAAAACTGCAGGTTTTGGATGGGTAGAACAGGATTTGGAAGACACCAACTGGCCAGGACAGAACTGGAGAGAATAAGCACAGTGGCACGTGCTGCATGTCATGACTTTAATGTGTAACTACAGTATGCATACATACAAGAGTGGGAGAACTAAAGCCCAAGAACTAGAAAGGCTACAAAATACAACACGTGGACCAATACTTTACAAAACATTGAAAATCCTTACAAAATGGGCTGTTGTATTGGTCCTTTGGGTTTTTTTGTTTTGTTAAATTTTTTCTTTTTTTTTTCTTTTTTTTCCTTTTTTTTTTTACAAACTTATACTGTGTGGTCGCAGGGGAGGGTGGGAAAAGGTCTAGATTTAACCCCTCATCTTCCAAAATTTACAACTGTCCAAAAAAAAAAAAAAAAAAAAAAAAGCAAAAAAAAAGCTATAGGCCTGGTCTCTGGTTTATTTACTGAAAACAGCTGACCCTCACCCAAAGGGCCGTTTTCTTCTCCAACAAAAAGGAGGCATTCTCTGACTGCCATTCCACTTGCTGTCTATCAGCATTTGATGAGGGTGAAGGGAAAGCAACACTGAACCTTAACCCCTCCCTCACCCCTCCTGTACTCCACAGAATTCCCATATTCCAAACACATCTACTTTTTTTTTAAACAACTTAGTGATTTAAAGGTCCCCCATTCACATAAAGAAAAATAAGTTACTGGCTTTTCAATATTCTTTGGGAGTCTGGGAATGTCAGGACAAGGAGGTCTGCCCCAGACAAGTGCTTGGCATCAGCAGCTGCCCCTTTATTACAAGATGGACAGGCAACAGTTACCCACCTGCCTTTTACACAATTTGCACAAACCCAAAAGTCCAGACAAATGTTTCTGTTCCTTGTATTTACACTAGTTCAAATGATATTCACAGCATCTTCTGAAGTTTGGCCGAAAGTCAAAAAATTTGTTTCAAACTTTGGAACATGCCCACATAAGACTTTCACCCAGGGTCTGTTGTGTCTACCCAATCAAGGGGGCTGGGAAGGTCAGGAGGAGCCTTACAGAGTCTTCAGTCAGCTGATGGGACGGGACCTCCAGGCTGGCACTCTTACAACGCAGGATGCAGCTCATCTAACTGGCACCAGTCCCTTCCATAACTTGCTGGGCCTGCTTCTGCCCCATGCAGCACTGTGCAACCGACTGGAACAACCTGCACATAGAAGCAAAGCAATGACAGGTGCTTTTATGGCAGCAAATGGATGCTGTGACAGCACTAGAAACTCAAGGTTCAACTGCTTCAGAGATACCATGTTAATGATTCTGTGGTTAAACTATACTCACTTCTCAATTTCTGGAGCACAGTGAACAAACTCATGGTTCCAGAACTTAAAGGCTGGATTTTTTATCAGTTCAATGAACGTAATAAGGAGACCCCAGGGATGAGGCCTATTTACAATCAGTCGTTCCAAGAGAACCCTGAAATCCAAAAGTAAGAACACTTAGAGCTCAAAGATCAAAAATACAGAAGGAAGGCAAGCAAAACGCTGAATGTTGGCAAGTTAAATGCTGTCCCTCTCACCTGGTGATCTGCTCCTGGATGGCCTCTGTGTTGGCCTCTGCAAACAGGTAGAGCATGGTGCAGCTGAAGTAGTGGGTGTGGCTGTTGGGGTACCGCAGCTGGTTGGCGATGGCGTTCAGGAAGAGGTACCGGCCTGCAGGAGAGAACACTGAGTACACACGGCTTCCCTTGCACACAAAGGGGAATAAAGAAGCAACCAGTAGTGCTTGAGATTAACCTTTGGGAGACTTGTGGAGGTACATGAAACAAAACCAACTGAAGGTATGTAAAAGCTGTATCTACCCAGACTGATGGAGAAGTAAGAATTGAATTCTTCACTGAAGGCATTTCTAATTCCCTTGAATACACTGAACATTTGAGAACACTGCTCCTATATTCTAATGTAGCATTAATTTCTGTGTATTCACTATCAGCTCCATAAATTGTTGAGGCTGGAAGAGACCTTTAAGACCATCAAGTCCAACCATCAACCCAGCACTATCCCTGTAACCCCATAACCACTAAATCACATCACCCAGCACCAGATCCAGACACCTCTCAAACACCTCCAGGGATGGCAACTCTACCACTTCCCTGGTCAGCCTAATCTAGTATCAGACCACCCTAGCAGTGGAAAAACCTTTTCTGGTATTTAATCTTTATCTTCCCTGTAACACCTTAAGGCCATTTCCTCTTATCCTCTCACTGTAGGCATGGTAGAAGACCCCCACTTGATTACAACAACCCTTCAGAGCTCGAGGCCCCCAAGCCTCCTCTTCTCAACACCAAACAAACCCTCAGCCATTTCTCACAGGAAATGTTTTCTAGACCTTTCATAAGCCTTGCTGCCCTTCAGTAGACACATTCCAGCACCTCAATATGCTTTTTAAAGTGAGGGCCCAATATATAATAATATTACCGTAAACGTGACATTGCATGAACTAGCAGTGTTTACAGCTCACCTTCAGTATCCAGGTCTACTGCCAAATTCTGGAAGATGTCCATGTGAGCTGAGTGGGTAATGGTGCTCATGGAGGGTGTGCTGCCTTTGTTGTGAATGTGTGCAATTGCTTGAGTACCTACGTAGAGCACCAGTGCATTAATCAGCTGGATGTTGTAGCGGTTGCCTGGTTCATTTGATACCTAATAGCAACGATATGAAAAGCATTAACAGTCAATATTCCTTCAGCACTCAAAGGTACAGCATGTACAACAACAGCATCCAATATCCTACTGATTAGCCAGAAGACAACACACTGGGACATCCACGAAATCAATCTGACATTTAGCCTTTTTTAATACAGCTTATATTAAAAAGCCTATCTTATAGTGCATATATACGTGTGTGTGTGTATAGAATCAAAAACATCAGCAAAGTGTTGACACAACAGATTTGTTTTTAATTTCTGCCTAAAGGTAAACATCAGGTAAGGCAATGTGAATTCACCAGCAGTGCCAGATGCTGGCAGAAAGATCCCCCTTGTGTGAATGTCTAAGCAATTCTCTGAGGAAGTCAAACTTCAGACTCAAGTCTGCTGCAAGCCAAGCCATAAAATGTCTATGTGAGGTTTTAGCCACAATTCTGAACTGGGCTTTAGCTAATTTGACCTTTTTTACCTTTTAAGTATTGACATGAGGATCCATTTATTTCTGTAACAATGAATCTATTTGGAGTCAAAATTTAATCAGATTCTAAAAGGCTTCAACACATCCTATCAGGGAGTGGAAGACTTATTCAGAGTGTGTGTTTTCACAGGCTTTTCTACTGCCTAAAACACACCAACAAAATTCCTGCAGGAAAGGATGGTGGCTGAACCAGTGAGATCATTTGTGCCACATTATTTCAATTGAGCACACACAGAAACCTCAAAAACCTCAAACTTACTTGTAGGTTGCTTCGCAAGTCAGACAAAAAGGTGACTGGAGAACGGGTTTTGAGATAGGAATCCAAGTCTTTCTTGAACTGAGGTGGCATCACTCCAGTGAAATTTGTGAGTATTCGTGGAGCAATATTAATCTCACTTAACATGTCCACCTGTTGACAGAAAACCCAGTCAACTAAACCATCAGCAATGGAACAAATTAAAAAGCAGATCTATAAGCAATATTTCATCAACTACTGCTGCTGATCACTCTTCCTTACATCAATGAAATGGCAACACCTGACTTACAAATTTTAGAAGAAACTTGATATATGATGTCTTGAAGAACTGAGAGGATAAAAAAATTCAGGCGTGAAGGCCATAGAGAAATTCAGTCACTGCCTTTGGGGTTTCCCCATCTACACTCCAGTCTGGTAGTTTCAAAAAGCACAAACATCCACACAAGAACAGCCTTCTTTGGTGACAACGAGCACTGCAGCTTTGCTCCCATCACCCTGCACAGCTCAGGCAGAGAAGAGCAACAGTACAGTGCTTCAGCAGCATGAGAAAGTTTCCTTTAATCATTCCAGGATTAGTTGCCTAGCAGATACCCAAAGATTTAATTAGGTAATATTAACTTG